CTATAAAGTTACAGAATTTGTAAAGCAGTATAACAATTAAATATTCCATGTGATTAACAATTATTATACCATTGTGGTATTGTTACATAAGTAACAAAACACACTATTTCTGTGCATTAAGAATAATTTTGTTGGGCATTGCAAGGATACTCTGGATATCAATTGCAATCATGGGCAGGTCAAAATATTTTTATAAGATGGAGCTAAAAGCAGATCTGTCATGGAACTGGTGCGCAGCCTGGCTGCTCCACTTCAGTGCCGTGCTTTCTCCAGTGTATGTCTCACTATTTCTCAGCACCATCCACAGTTAGTGCAACTCCTTTGTTTCCAGGGTGTGAACTAGCTGAGCCAGCCAGCTTGGGTGTCTATGCTGCACTTCATTGAACCATGTGGATTTACCCTTTGAGCCTGTTTCAAGGCAGGGATTTCAGGCCAGGATGGGATAATCTTAGACAAATGTCCTACCCTACTTGTTATTTTTAGGCTTATCTCTCTCCGTCCTTTCTCCCCTTCCTTTTTTGTCATAACATTTTTGAAAGGTCTCGCTTCCTTCTGAGGGTGAATGAGAAAACTCTGAAATCTCAACAATGGTTAGATGTGAGAAACATTTTACACTGAAGTTGTTAGAAATTTCACACCTACTCCTCCTCTATCCAAGATAGCTCATTGCATCATGCTCTGCACACACAAATTCTTTAAGTACAGATCATTTGGATTTTCCCATTGTTCTTTAATGAAAAATAATACTTTCTTTCCTCCACAAGACAAGTAAAATTTAAATTCTTCAGATGTTCCTTGAATCATCATTGGAAGGAAGAAGTTTTCTATCAGTCTCTTCGAGGAAAACTATTTATTGAGAGACAATTTCATGTGCTTTATTAAAATTATGAAATTATTAAGATCGTTATAATACTGTGCACTACAAGTATATGATTTGCCAGTAATAAAAAAAAAAGGCTTGTAAAAATACAGCTATTAGAAACTTGGAAATGAAATGGGCTTAATACTGATGCTTTTTCAGTCACCTTCAGACAGCTCTGTGAAAGACAAATGTAACATTTATGGACAGTTAATACCATATACAGATCAATAATCTAGTCTTTCAAAAACACCTATATGTGGTTTCATGGGTTTTTGTTCAGGGTTTCTTTGATATACAAACTCACCAGAGAATGGCAGGTCAGGAGCCTGTGCTCAGACCTCCAGCATGTGTTCTGTTAATACACTCTGGGCACCACAAAGAATTATTTTGTTCAGGGTCAGAGAGTCAATGGGATGCTTAGCCAGTGAGGGGTTTTCACTAGAGATAGCTGCAAATAGCACAGAAGGGAAGAAAATCACAGACGAGTGCTCACCAGTAACGAGGCAATCCCAATGGTTTCTTTTTAAAATATTAGTGTGGAAGCAGAGAGCAGAACCAGCAAAGCTGCAATCTGTTTACATGCCTAAGTCCTTGCAAAGAGAAGCTGCCTCTTCACAGGTTGCACTAAACAGCTTGCTGTTCCCTTTTTCAGTACTTCCCTTAGCTTTGCCACAAAAACACAGTCCCTAGTGCTGCATACCTGCAGTCCCTCTTGCCCATTAAAGAACTGCCCATGCTGGGTGATGATCTTCAAGTCTGTAAACACGGACTTGAATGCCATTACTTGATCAAACTGCACACTACTCTTCAAAGCTTGACCTTAGACTTCTGTCCAAATATGGGTTTTCTTCATAAAAATAAAATAAGAATGATAGAACTTGTGCTCCATTAGGAAAGTTGCTTGTGACAGGGCTCTAAGAAGAGACTTTGAGCTCAAAGGGACAATAAGAGAAGGAATGAAGTCTTTCAGGTCTGGGGTTATGGGCACAGAAGGAAGCCGTGCTACCAAAGGGCAGTCAGAGGTGAGAAAGTGAACGTCTTGTCTGCTGTGCATACAGAGGGTTTTTCTCTTATGCCATATGCCCCGGTTCTACAAATCTGCTTTTAGGCTAAAGCGTAGGTGTGTCTGCTGAGGAGCAGCTCTTTGAAGAAGCTGTGGGTGCAGCATGTCTGTCATTAATCAGGCTGGAGATCACTCTTCAATCACAGAAAATGAAATGAACATTTAGTCAGTGGGTGAGAAAACAAAGATTCATTTTTCAAGTCTTCTTATCAGATGTCAGACACCTTCTGATTATATCAGATTTTTGTTTACCTTTTACTGATGCTTATATTAATTTATTGGATATTTAAAATCTAGTGTAACAGTGACTCCCATGTACAAAAATATGATCATACTTCGAAGGTATCTTAAAAATTAAAAAGATAAGGATACAAGGAGTCAAACCCAAAATGGCTGTTGGAATAGTTAATAATGCTGACAATGAAATATCAGAGCATCACTATGAATTATCACTATTAAGAATTAATCATTTATTAAGAGTTGCTTAGACCTCAACTACTATTTTGACAATGATGAAAATCATTCCTGATTTTCTGGTGCAGGGAATTTAACAACCTCATGCATTGTATGCTGTATGCTTTTCCTTAAGACATATTTATAGTACTGCTGCTCTGAAAGAATCACTGTGAGAGGTTTGGAAACTTGTAAGACTACTTTTTAGATGCCAACAAAAAATACATACATATTTTAAATGGATTTGGAACACACTGATTGAAACATGTAAAAACAATCATAGAAGAAATCTATGATTTCTCTGTTCTGTACAAATGTCAAGTCCCCAAGAAATGGGTCTGTAACTGAAATAAACATTGAATAGACTCACACTTAAAGAAAACAATGCTCAGGCTTAGTAGCTTGTTTCCACAGGATACCACTTCCAGTACACAGAGCCTTGTGTAAAGGAAAACTCACAGTCTCAACAGCCTAACTCCACACTGAGGAGAGGAACTATAGGAGTAACAGATCACAACACCTCCTGGTAATTCCCACAGGAACAGAAAATACTTTGTCACTCTTTCCGATGCACATTACTGCAACATAAATGCAATGTTCTATTTTGTTCCTTTCTCAGCTTTATATGAACAAAATAGAATTTTTTCCTCTTTCTTTGTCCATGAATAGACACACAGGTGTCTGTTCCCTGATGCACATCTCCCTGAATGAGGTCTGACATTCCTTCTCTTCCATGCAGATGATCTAATTATTCCCACACGCTGCTGAAAGACGTTGCAGTTTCCGTGCCATGAGCTGTGTCTCAGAGTGTGTCTCACTGACATCTGTTCTAGCCAGCTCCTGACAGCCAGCACCAGTGTGTGGCGGAGGGCAGCACTTAGGGACAACTGACAAGACACAGAAAATACCATCTGCATCACCTTTACATCTTTAAAGTTAATTCCCAGCATTAAAATCACAGATGCATTTTTTTCTACTATTTATGAGCAGGCTATGTAGACATATTTCAAAGTATTGTTTAACCTTTAATAAATTTTCAGCTTTTAGTGAGCAATGACTCTTCAGAGCAAATTGACAGGAAGCACATTATGTAAGTATTTTGAATTTCTCAGTCAGAATACTATTCAGTATAAACTATCATCTGCTTACAAGAAAGGAATAGCTCATAAGATGTAGCATGTCAGGTAAATATATTAGGAATAATGTAAGAGAAAAAAAACCCACTACATTTTTCCTTATTATCCTTTAAAATATGAGAGCTTTGCAAACACACTTATTCAAACCTTCATTTCAAGTTAGTCATCACAGTGCTTCACTCTCCAGTTCTTTATATGCTGTGAACCTCCAGTGTCTATGCAGTTGTTTCTAAGGTAACAGATCAAGATGCCTTGTGAAAAAAAATGAATCAGATCTTGAATATTCAAGACATCTCCAGTTGCAGAAATGAGAAAAGGGCAGTATCATCTCAACAAGAGTTCTCAGTGTCTTTTAGACCCCAGCCTGATTTGCAGGCAAGAATAATATAATCCACCCTAAGGCTGTGAATGTGAGAGTACAGTGGTTCATGAAGTTTCAGACATGTAAAATGTCAGAAATTTTTTAATCAGAGCCATAATTAAGGAATTATGGAAGCTGTTCTCAACAGAGACTCGTTGCCTCATTGCAGGGTACACACACACAGAATACAGATGAAGAATGTATTTGGTGGGTTGAGCCTTCGTTCCAGCCACTGGCAGCCACAAAGAAATCTTTCCATCAGACACACGATGCACAAACCAAAAACACATTAAAAATTAACATGAACCAGCATGTGAAAATAAATGTACCTTTCTAAAGAGGCCAAATATGTATTATTCCTATCAAAGGAAACAAATAGATATCTTTCATAGGTCTTTCACAGGATTATCTGGGTCAAGAGTTTTCAGTGAACAAAACTACTGGGTTTTGTTGAGCGATTTTTGTGATTTGCCTGATTGTTTCTTTTCTTAAACTGGCTAGAACTACATTTTCCTTCTTTTACATTGCTTATTATCTGAGTCCAGATTTCATATAAAAATATAAATACATGTAAGCCACATAAAGAGAATGTTAACCAAAATATGAAAGGCTTTTAGAAAGCTTTTGTTACTACAAAAAAACCCTAAACTCTTTGCTTAATAATATCTGACACATATGTTCACTGCTATATGCACACACCCACTACCTGTGCTAAAATAATCATAAGGTATTCTTCAAATGCATATCATAATGAGATCAAAAAAATCTAAAAAAATCAGAGAAAATTATCCGACTTCACAAAAACTTTCAGAGTTGTATTATTTTCCATGTTGTGTAAGGAAAAACTTTCATGCAGCTTGGGGATCAGACAAAAGTCACAGCTATATGACTGGACCGGTCATGACCACTTGTACCTGTTTTCTTGGTTTTGAATCTTGTGGTCTCTCTGCTGCATTAAAAAATATTGCTTACTACAAACACTTGGAATAAAAACTGGTTGAATATTTATATAGCTTATTTGGCAACATACTTCAGTGGCTGCTCTGCATGAAGAAAATATTAACAGATTTTGGGACTTGTATCATTTAACAAACTGAAAGAAAGATGCATTGATTAGGGTCTTACGTTCTTGGAAAGATGTGAAGAGCATCTGGAATCGGCTGTTTCGACTGCCTTCATCTGCCCACATGCGGATTACACCCAGACCTGTCCTCAGCATCACATCATTAGCAACTGTGCTGCAAAACTTTGCCTTCAAATCCTCCACTGAGCTGCTTCCGTCATACACTGCTACAAAATTCCTTTTGCATTCGTTGGAATTCTGCATCTCATAGTCCAAAAATCGCAAATAGATCTATAAATCAACCAAACAACAAAGGGAACATGTACAGACATTTGAGAATGACTGAAAAAAACATTAAGCAACTTTGCTTTACATTGCAGGAGAAAAAGTACACAACAATTCCATCAAAATATTTTTTCTGGAGCTGGTGATCCATAGGGCACTTCTTTGGAAAGCCATTAATATGCAAACTGAGCACTCTTTCTACTTCCTGGTATTTTGTCTTTCTTCCAAGTAGAATGTCTCAGAAGATCTAGATAATTCTTTGTTCTTACCCACAGTAAGGTGCTAATTTGCAAATATATACTTTTTTTCAGAAGTATGTGCAATGGTTCTTCAAGCTGAAGGACAGATGAGCTAGAAATTTCTTCTTTTACTGCTTGGCACGATATTGCTCTATTACATGACTGACATGTGAAATAATAAGGCAAATCATTGTTGCTCCCTCCCCAGAGTCAATGTGTCATCTTATACATTTCTGCTACACTGATTCAGGGAGTGAGAATCTAAGAGCCAGGCAGAGCTCCATCATTAATCTTTTTATGTTTCCACAAGGATCTGCCACCATCTCAGCTCTTCTAAACAAAGCATTATGGTATACTTTTTCATAATTTAACTGGATTCAAATCAAGCATATTTTGTAGAAACTCCTAGAAAAGTATGTCTCTTGCATGCAAGCTAAATTTTCTCATAAAGTAATATATATATATTGCCCTTTGCAAAGAACTCTTTAAATCTACTTAAAAAGAAGCACTGGTGAGGATAAAAGACTACTATTTGATATCCAAGTGTATATGGACTTTAGGGAAAACTACCAATTTTAAAAGCAATTGATTATAAAAGCAACATCAAATTGACAGAGAAAGCAAGTACTATTTTCAATAGATACATGATACATAATCAAACTGCCAAGGGTACTCCTGAGATTTCAGGGAAATTTTACAGAAAGGTCAGTTAGGACAGAAATTGTATAAAAAAGCAGTAAGCATACACAGCATAGAGCTGTATAGACCTCCACTTGAAAAAATTACTAAAAAAATAATCTCCACTGTATTAGACATCAAATATACTTATTACCAAACAATTTTATTGACTTCAGGTATTTCTTTATATGGACAGAACAAATGTTTTTTAAGCTCCTCTGCTTTCGCAAAAAGTACACAAGCAGTGCATATCCTATTAGCAACAAACCTCATAATTTCACTTCGTTAATATATTAAAACTCTTATAGTTTAAGAATTATGTGCTCTCAAGCAGTCTGCTACAGTTTAGTAATAGCTCAGATTTTTTAATGGGCCTTTTCAGGTATTGTATTATTGTATTTTTCATTCCTTGTTATGCTTCACATAAGTGTGACTCTGAAAAGAATATTTGTGAAAACTTACTAGCAAATGAAATTAGGTATACCAAAGGCACATTTTTTTTTCTAATCTGTTATTCTTACAGTGACTCTTACTCATATTACATAATTTTCATCTTTCAGAAGAGTTCAGAGGGATATATTTCAATTAAAGTGCAGTTAAGTGTACTTTAATTTCACCATATATCCTGGAGTTTATATACCAAAAAAATAAGGAATCTGCTTGTATTGGTCTCTACAAAGTGAAGCAACTAACAGAAGTAGACAGAGACATACTGAGATGGAAATATTTTATATCAAGGTATAGTTTTTATAGTGTTTCTCACTTCATTTACTGGTTGTTCAGTAAGACAGTGAAATGATGCACACTACTGTGCTGGCAGAGAAAGGCCCCACATGGGGGGATCCCACACAGGTGAGGGAGGTATGGGAAGAGGCAGAGCCATGATACAAACACCCAGTGACTGACCACATTTGGGACACACCAGAGAGCTGTTTCTGTGTCCCAGACACCAGATCCTCCTTCTTGAGCAAGGGTGAGACAGTCACTGTGCAGCCCTGGCACCCAGCCTTTCCTGGGAAACTGCTGAGACCTCCATAATACATCTCTGCATAACTTAGGGACTAAATGTGCCCCTTGCTTTTCTTTCCTCAGTTACCTGAAGCAATCTGCTTCAGACAGGTGTCCCAGTGCCTGCCAGCCTTGTCACAGGTAATGCAATGAAATTTTCCTGCAGCTGAAGCTGATTATAGGCAATATTGCATACATGTGACTGCTTCCCAGGAAGAGAAATGTGTCAGATAGATTGTTCACAAAAAACAGAGGGCATGCAACATGCTTTCTTAATGAATCATTGCTTTTACTGTCTGCATATACCTATCATATGTACACCATTTATATTTATATGCCATATACATATATATACATACATATATATATATATATACATGATAGACCAGAAAGTTATACTGCAATGCACCACATCATATTTTTGTCTGTTCCCCTCTTCAGAAAAGCTCATATTTACTCTAGAAAAAAAGATTGCATTAATCTGATGGCAGAACAGTAACAAAACCATACCTACTGTGCAAAATTGTACACTGCCTTGCACACTAGTTCACATGTTCTCTATTTCTATCCTGCTGCCTTTTATATACGCATTTATATGTACAATTGCATGTGCACATATATAAGTACATGTATTTCTTTGAAAGGTTATCCGATTTCAGTATGGAGATGTAATTTTTATGAGTTTTCATTCTTACAAGAAATGTGTGCTGATCCTCACTGTGGTTACAAAATATCAGCTCTCCCAGCAATTTCCAGCATTCATCAATTATTCCTGATCTGTTCAAAAACACTGTTCATATAACTGTCTGTACTGTTGTACAGACAAAATCTTATTTCTATGGGCTTATCATTTGACATTCTTTAGTTTCTGGAGGCACACCAGCCTTATAAAATAGTAAAATATTTCTTAGAGTAGCAGTCATAAATACTGAAAAGGAATCAAGAGAATAATAACTCAGCATTTTGTTTTGAGTCTTCCAGTGAACTTCCATTTTTCCCAAGCCTGAATTCTGCTGTCAGTGATACCTGTTCATTCCTCCGTGTGGGAAATTCAGCCAACACCATAACATATACATATGATAGGTAGTGGAACCACTGGATAAAAATGTTTGACTTAAAAATCTGTGTCTATCTAGTAGAAGAAACATGCCACTTTCTCCAATGGCATGAAGTTTCATAAATTAGAGTATATAAGTTACTGATATTCTGAGATTAGTTGGAGCTTCATTTTCATCATTGTCTTTGGAGATGACTACTCCCAGAACTTTTTATAAAATATTGAAGACTTGGTGCAACAACCCTGAAATGAGTGGGTATATTTTAATCTATTTATTTGAATCAGACCTTTGACTTAAGACTGCAGTGCATTTTTAAAAACTGGAAACTGATTACACAAACTGACAACCTGATATTGGATCAGATTTTATTTTAAAGAGCTGGAATAATTTAATTGCTTCTGCACGCCTCTGCCAACTTGTACAGTTTCATTGCTATATATTTGCCATTGTTCCTGTCACTGGCTGTAAGACCCACACTGGCAGAAGAAAATGACTAATAATAAATTGAGTTCCCCAGGGAAAGAATAAAACTGATTATATGACAAACCCTTATTTAATGCAAAATGTTCCCTATACATAGCTTTTTTAAATCAGTGGCAATATTCTCATTACTTTTGCTGGTATGTGGATGTCACTAAAACAAATGCATCAGAAAGTGAGAGAAAAATTGTCAATATTACTGGTTATTTCATTTACAGAGATCTTAGCCATTACTTCTACCACCAGTGGATAAGAAACTTTGTTCCCCTGAAAGAACATAAACTAAAGAAGAGGTCACAGACTCAAATACCACCAACTGCCTTCATTAAATATTTTTTCATTGATGTCAATAGGAGGTTTTGGAATGAACATTTCCACAGATACTGGCACATTATATTAGCATAATCGAGGCATCCTTGCTGAAGAGAACATCTTATTTGAAAGAAGAATCATAACTGCCATATCTTCTTCTTTCACATTTTTGCTGCAAAATTTTAATAAGACACTTTTGTCAAGTCATCAGCTCCACATTACTTAGGAGAAGGGGCTGCTCAAGTATCAGATTACCTGAGTTTTGAGATGTCACTGCAAATGTCAATGTTATTAGCAACAAAACTGAAAAAGCCTCACTGCAACCGTGGCATATGTAATTTACACTCGGTCACATAATATTTTAAATAATTCTCTCATCACCTGTAAGTTTTGTATTGCCACCATAAATAATAATCAAAAAAGGAAATTCTGGGAAATTTTTACTATTTCTTTTCATTTAGATTTGAAAGCAACAAAAATCTCTGACTGAACATACTAGGAAAAAAACCCCAAAATTATTATAAACTACAAATAACATATCACCTCAGTAAAATAGTCAGATTATAATCTCCTCATAGTGAATCACTTCTGATGAGTTCTGCCTTTTAATCAATCACTGAAGGTTAGGGATGACAACATGATTGATCAGGCCAGTCAGAAAAAGCTTCAAACCATATCCCAGCATATCAGACTTAATATATCTGCAGAGACACCCAGTCGCCTTAAACCAAACCAAACAAAAAGCCATTGTTCAACTGCCAAAAGTAATTTAGACATAAGAGAAAAAAATCCTCTTCATCCAAGCATAATGTCCAGATTTTACATTTTCTCCTTCTGGGTTCAGTCAATTCACTTGTAAACAGAGGACTGGGTTAAATTGTCCCATTGCTCAGTGATCAGTTACAACACCTGCTTTTTTCGAGGTCTTTTTCAGTTCTGTGTGATTAACAAAGTACTTTCCAGATGATACCTCCAGTATTTAGGCCTGGGAAATCCAGTTTTTGTAAAGCAGATTGTGCAACACTAATTGAATACCTTCAAGGCAAGTAGACACCAAGTACAACAGACTAAAAAGAATATTATCAACGGGGCTTGAATTTGTCATCTGCAATGATCTGTCCTCTTGCTTGGATGCTATTTTTTTTAAAATCAGTATTACTTCAATACAAAAGTGCTAATAATACATGATTTGTTGGATTTTTGTTTGTTATTTTGGAGAATTATTCTACAT